ATCGTGGTAAGGAGGTCATGAGAGAACCTCATGTTGATGATGCTAATATCGCAGCAGCTGAGGATGATCCCATATCTAAGCTTCTAATCATATTACCACGATTAAAGAAGAAACCAATTCAATTGCAGTGGGACATTAGAGTTTTTGGAGTTGATAGCTCTGATGTTCCACTATACATATCTCTGCCTGATGCATTAGAGATTGTTGGGGGAAACTCCATGTTAAATATATCTATCATACAGTTGTGGGCCATGTAAGTCATATTTTCTTTTATGAGTCTAAATTTACAATAATTACATTTAACTTATAATAATTATTTGTGTTAGGTACATGGACAAATTGAGTGTGGAGCAAGCACAAGCAGAAGTATATGGATTTATTGAGCCTCAATCAATCCAAAAATCAGGAAACACTCAGGTCCAGATCCAGCAATATATGCAAACATGGATGAGTGACTCAAGAAGAGATATATACATGGCTCCATACATTGACGGGTTAGTTTTTTAATTGGTTTTTTAATCATGGTAATTTTATAACTAATTTGTTTGTCATACAATGTAGGTCCCATTGGCAGTTAATGGTAATCATTCCTAAGGAATACACCGTGGTGTGGTTTTGTTCACTACATCGAAAACCAAGCCACGAAATTAAATGCCAATTACAAGGGTAACTAAATTTTTTCATTATGTTTTAAAACTGTAATTATATATATTGGCTAACATTTGTTTTTATTTCAATTAATTAGAATCGTGTCTGGAGCTAATATTTTAAGTGGAAGAGCCAGATCATCAAAGTCATTGCATTTCATATACCCTAAGGTTAGCAAATTAATTCATACAGTCAATAATATTTAAATTTATTGACTTTGGAAATAATAGTTATTTGTTTCTCATTTTAGTGTAATAAGCAACAAGACTTGTTTGAATGTGGCTATTACATCATGTATTGGATGAGAGCCATAGTTTTTGCGGGTATTATTGATTCTTGGGCGCAGGTAATTCTTATCAAAATTTATTTAAGTATATTTACCTTTAGGATAATTAACATTGCATATTAATGACACTTAAATTAATGTTTCAGGTCTTTCAAGAT